TTTTTTTTTTTAAATCAGATGAATTTTGAATGAACAAGAGCAATTTATAATATTTTGTATACAAACAAATTAGTTTTCTTATCGCATCAGAATACAACTAAATATTGCTATGTTGACTGTGTGTCAGGTGATAGACAAGAACAGAAAATCCTCGCTTACAATAAATTAAATCAAAATATACCTTAAGAACAGAAAAACAATTATCTGAAATTAGTTTTTTCTCATCTTTTAAGTGGCTTATTAAACTATGCGTTGTTTTTATTCTATTTTTTAGACGTAAGTTAGCTAATCTCAGTTGTTTGATTTTTTTTACATGATTTTCGTGTTCATTCTTTGAGGCAATCCAATATTTTAATCTGCTGTTTGGACTTTCTATATCGTCGATACTTTTKAAATCCCTTGCATAGAATTTGCGCTTCCTGAAATCATACAATATATAATTGTATAAATATAAAAATTAAAACATACCCGTATAAATTAATGTCTACTTAAATTAGTCTAAAGCTACCTGGATTTTATAGGCATTGGTATATTATCTATGATGGCAGAATTTATTGATTCGTCTGAGTCTTTGAAAACCATTTGTTCTGGTATCATACCTTACATTCAAAATGGTTAGGTTAGTTATGCAACGATATAAAAAACATAAATAATTAATTAGAATACATACATTGAGTATCCTGTTTATCCAACTGACACTCACTATCACTGAGGCATGTTTCKCTCAAATTTTCAGGAAATACCTCAACAACCTCATTATTTTCACTTGGAAAAAGATTTTTATTGATAGCTACATTAAAAAAACAGTAAATGAAATAGATATTGTGACACATTTATATGTAATATACCTAATGGTAAGTACTAACGTTTTTTAAACAAACTAGGTAGTGCAGATTTGTCCAAAACCTTTTTTACAGGTAAAATGGTTAAGAGTGCGCGCAACTGTATTGTATTAGCACGGTCAAAGACTAATTTAATTGTTATCGATATCCTATTAGGGTAACAATCGTAACTATACTATTACTAAAAATAATATAATTTAAATGGATAAATGGATATGCAGAGAGTTCCTATGAACAACTAATGAACAAATAAACTGTAGGTATACTGCAAATCATTAATAATTCGTTTTTTAACAATCATTCAATTATTTATTAGAATAGGTATATAATATTAAATACTTATAGTGGATATCTATATAACAACGTAATAATATATAGATAAATAAGTAAAATATTATCAAGAAAATATATTCTTAAATATTTAAATGGATCCCTAATATAATTAATATTGTATAGCTAAATATTTTTATTCGTATTCGTTTATTTAGATAATGCATTTTTATAATATATAATTAATAAATTTATTGTCGAACTATCATAGTTTTTACTAATAGTTCTAAAATAAAAATAATAAATAAATTTGAGCAATTCTCGAATGAAATACAACGAACTCTTCATATAATAGAAGTATCGGAGGATATTAATAATGTAAAAGCATCAAGTTAAATTGTATTTTTTTTTTTAATATTATCTACAATTAACAAAAAATGGGTACTAAAATTAATTTAAAAAATGTCCTGGTTTGGTATAAAAATGAGTACAGAATAGAATTATTATAAAATCGTATTCATCATTTTAAAGACGTTAGATGCCATCATACTATAAATAGCTACTTGCGTTTAGCAATATTAATCACTGATCATTTAACTATTTTACATTATTATTTCTAATAATTATAGATTACTAATATTAATATACATTGTCTAATTTAAAAAATCTCACCTTCAACACAAGCTTCTGCTTATAGGGGCAAGGGGGTGAGCAATCTTATTATGTTTTATACTTTTATATATGAAAACTATGTTGTATTGTTGTAGTTTATTTGAAAATGTATTATATAAGTATTATTAAAAAATATATAGATTGGTTACACTTAAGTTCCATTGACTGACTCACAAATAATTTTTTAACATTCGAAAAATTAGGCATTTTTATTAAAAAAAAAACTATTTTTTTTTCTAAACAACATGCAGAGTTGGGTTTCCAAAATACATATAATGGATTTAAAATAACACCTGGAATCTGGATCACAAATATATTTTTAATGTTGGAGTATAAGTCCATTTGTCGTATCCCAATTTTTTTTTTTTATTTCCAAAAATCACATATACTTAAAAAAGTAAAACTTTTTTCTAATTCACGAAGATTTGAGTTTTTCTGGTAAACCAAATATTTTACAGGTATACACTATACATTACTTTTTTTTTTGTAGAAGAACTAATTATTATTATTTTATCATTATCAATTTTCATCATTATTATATATTCCCAAAAAAAATTTGGTAGATTGGTTTATTACCAATGTTGCTGTAATACATAATATTATATTATCTTTACTATGAATACTATTAAATTATTTGAATTATAATTTAATTATCATCAGTGGTGTAGTATTTCGCCCTGGTGCTACATTGTATAAGGGCTCTCCCTGTCACTAAAAAAAAAAAAATACGTTTTAATATTGAATATTTTTTTGTGGTATATACATATCATTATATTTATTGTGTTGTGGTAACACCATATGTTCACAAATTCTAATGCTGATATACTTTTTTTCAGCTATGTCGAATAATAATAATTTTTTTATTTATTTTAATTTATTTTGTTGCTGAAATAAAGTAATTTACTGATTTCGCACAGTAAGGTACTCAGCATAAACACGGGACCAAGTAGAAAAAACATCACTAATGCAGCACAATCGAATTAAAAAAAAAAAATTTGAAAATGTTGTTTAAGCGGGGCTGGGGAAATGGACCTTAAAAAATATGTCTACATACAAGAAAAACGAGGGTGCTGTTAATAGCTGCTGCAAGAGGTGGTCTTCATACATCGAGTATAGTTTTTTTAGTTTTATTAGGATCTCATAAGCAGTGAGTTGTAAAGTATTTGCATTCTACACATAAAAATTATCATTCATAAAAATATTGGTTATTTGAAAACTATAATATATATAGTTGTAATAAAATGTAAGCAACGGATTAATTTTTGCGATGAGCCAAAATTAAATGAAGTTAAAAGAAAAATGTGTAGTTCATATTACAATAAGATCTGTACCATCATGCTTTTATGTTAGTTAAAAATATAATGTTTACGTTGGTTGTTGGAGTAGGCACCTATCGAATATATTATATATTATCACTATATTGCCATATTGGCCACTTTTAAACCAAAATACTTCGAAAAAATGTATGCAACCAGATGGCTTCATGTGACAATGAGTCACCCAATTGTCCATTAATTTTCTTTTTTTATTCTATATGTAATTAATATTAAATCATTATTAGTTGCATTTTTGAATAAAATTACAGAAATCCCGAAGATACGTTTAATTGTTCAAATGGACTGTGTATAGAATCATCGGCAGTTTGTGACGGTCATGCAGATTGTTCAGACAATTCAGACGAGACCAAAGATTTGTGTGCTAGACAAAGGTATGTAATATGACTATTGACTATTGACTATTGAGTATTAACTGTAAGCTATGTGATATAGTTTCAAGATAATAGCTTTAATGATTAATGGAATTTAATATTACCTATATTGGCTATGTTTAATATATTTGTGCAATATAGATGTCCAAGTTATGCATATAGATGTAAATATGGAGCTTGTGTGGATAAAAATGCCAAATGTAATGGAAAAAACGATTGTGTTGATGGCTCTGATGAAAACTTACCTGAATGTAGACAAGGTTTAATTAACAGTACTCAACATGTCAGTGTATCATCAAAATGCCTGTAAGCGATTTTTAAATATAGGGTGTCCCGCGAGGATTTACCCTTCGCAATATCTAACGAAATAATGGAGATATCAAAATTCTGGTTTTATAAAAAGATTTAAAGGGATAAGAACTACAATTATTTCATTTTTAAATTTATTTTAATGTTTGGGTAAAAAGTTAAAAAACATATTTTTTTATTTAATTATTTCAAAATAAATTAAAGATAGCCATTTTGTTGAATTTATTTTTCTGAAAATATTGACGTTTCAAAATTTTATTTTCATTAATTTCCTGATTTTTAATATTTTTTTTAGTTTCGAGAAAAATTGCGAATTATTTAACACCGTAATGTTATCAAACATTTGACCCGCCGCGCCACGCGCATTCCCATCCAGCCGGCCGAATACTTTAAATTCCGTGTACCTAATAGTTATAAATTTATAATTTTATTTTATTTCTTCATAACTAGAAAAAATATTAAAAATCAGGAAATTAATGAAAATAAAATTTTGAAACGTCAATATTTTCAGAAAAATAAACTCTACAAAATGGCTATCTTTAATTTTTTTTGGAAATAATTAAATAAAAAAATATGGTATTTAACTTTTTTACCCACACATTAAAATAAATTTAAAAATGAAATAATTGTAGTTCTTATCCCTGTAAATCTTATTATAAAACCAGAATATTGATATCTCCGTTATTTCGTTAGATATCGCAATGGGTAACCTCACGAGACATCCTGTATACTTAGTTTTATTTATATTTATGTAATATTTACTTTATTAAACTACAAAATTTGAATATCAATTTAATATATTTATTTGAATGCATATGATATCATCCTAAAAAATTATAACTATGTATTTTTAATATTTTTTAACTACCGTTGTGACAATATATTATGAGTCTTGTATTAAATTTTGAAGCTTTTTTACGCAACTAATAAAATTGTATTGCCATTTATATAAAAAAAAAACTATAAAGATTGTAAATGTCTAATGCCTATAATTAATAACTTAAAAAGATTTGAAATATTGAAAAAGTTTTATCAAGTATAGAAAATGTCAGTATAAAGTATAAACATTCAGTAAAAATTTCATGTGTTTTCGGTAATTTGTGTTTTTTTTTTGTTTGTTTGTTTTTGTGTCTGTGTTCAGCATAACTAGTCGAAATAATGCTTCAATTTCAAACTTTGGGGGTGGTTTCCGATGTAAAAGTGAATATCCTTGGTGCATTATAGAGGTCAAAAGTAAACATTTTCCAACATTCTCAAATGAAATTTAATGTCATGCGTGTTATTTTGTGTTACTTTTATCGTTGAATACACTGTACACATATTGTACATATACATATATTAATATTATTTAATCCTAGCAACATACCAACACTTATCTATATTGTAGCCTGTAGTGATGAGGCACAAGGTATAAATGTGTAAGTAATGATATATTATACACTTGTATTTTGTGTAAATGAAGAATGCGTAATTAAGTTATATTATATTGTATATTAATGTAATTGTTAATTTTAAACTATTCATATTTACCTTTAATTTATTTTATTTTAAAGCGAAGACCAATACAAATGTACATCAGGCCAATGTATTGATGGAACATCAACTTGTGACGGAACTCGAGATTGTAAGGACGGGTCTGATGAAACTTCTGCGTTATGTAAAACAGTCCGGTGAGTTGATTTCGATCTTTTAAATTGACCTTTATTTTAATTTAAAAATTTGAAATTTAAGGTGCCAAAAGTATACATTCCAGTGTAAATATGGGGCTTGTGTCAGCAAAGAGAGTAAATGTGATGGCATAAGGCAGTGTATTGACGGTTCTGATGAAGAAAGATGTGAAAGTAATAGCAATAGTCCATCTTCGAAACCAATAACAACGGCAAGGCCTGTACAAATTACAACAAAACCAATAATGCATTCTAATAATACAATGTATTTATAATTTTATTTTAGCTGTTTGAATAGAATACAGATTATTTGGGGATTTCTTAAAAACAGAGAAAATAATGAATTTTTCAAAAATTTAATTTAATAATTAAGAGGACGCTACACAACCATTTGGTGTCTCTGTCTTCAAGTGCGTTACATAACAAATTTAAGCTTGGCAGATTACGTTTAATTCTGTTAGTCTAAAAATTAGAGTAAACTTACCTATTATGAAACTAACGGAATTAAACGTGATCTGCTAAGCTTAAATTTGTTATGTAACGCACATGTAAGACAGAGACACAAAATATGTGTGTAGCGTCCTCATAATCATAACTTTGGTGCACTGATCAGTAAAATGTTCATAAAGTTTTTCTATTTACTATTTAATTGTTCTATTTTTTTATTCATAGTTAGGAGCAAGATTTCATCGAATATGGATTGTATAAGAATATTAAGAACCAATTAATCTTGATTACTTTATTTATTTATTTTGTTATAATATTGAAAGCCTACCTAGTTTGTGTTATATTTTTAATATTTTAAAATTAAAGGAATTTATGCGTTTTACCAACTGTCAATGGCGTGATATATACTTATGAAGGTTCAACAGAAATTATACCTCATGGGACATTTATTAATCACCATCTTACTGTAATTGAAAACTGTGAAGTTGGATATCATAAAGCTTATCCTAATGGTTTTAGAGTTTGTCAGGGAAACGGTAAATGGATAACGGTTTCTGATAAATTATGTTTCAGTAAGTTTTGTATTGTATGATTTAATAGGTAATTAATGACCTATTTAAATATATTATAAGTCTGATGTTTGATTATAATTTGTTTATGTTTATAGAAATGTGTCCACCTTTACTATCAGATAGTTTAGATATTAAATGTACTCTTAATGGGAAGTATGCTAATTGCTCAAATCTATCGATACCTGACACAATAGCAACACCATCATGTAAATCTACACATACTGTGCCAAATGGACAAGAAGAAACTCCACTTGAATTACATTGTCAGTCTAACGGAATGTGGAACAATCAACTATATAGATGCATTCCATGTAATTGTATTTTTTATTATATGATTATAAGTTTCTAATTTGTATGTATTTTAATAATTTAATGAACTATTACTATTACCAAATTTTTTAATTTGTATAATGTATATTATGAAAGTTAAAATTTAAGATGAATAAATATTTATTATCATTTGATGTAAATTTTAAAACTTTTACTGTACCTATGTTCTATAGACATGATACATTTTGCATTATTATTATTTGCTATCTATACTTGACTTTTTTTTTCAATTATAATTTTAGATTGCGGTAAAGTATACATCAAAAACCAAGTATTGATCGATAATGGTAAGAAAGCGCTCATTGGAACAGCACCTTGGAATGTTGGAGTGTATCAATTAAATAAAGAGAATTCCAATTATGATTTGATATGTGGAGGATCAATAATTTCTCCGAATTTAGTTGTTTCTGGTAAAAACTTGTGATTTGTATTTAAGATTGAACGAACATAAATTAAATTAAATTTTTAGCGGCTCATTGTTTTTGGCAAAAAGGTATGATATCTAATAGAATATCAGTTAATGACGCTCTATACAGAATTGCTGTCGGAAAATATTCTAGAGATTTTACTATAATTGACAATGAATTTACTCAAATATTGGATGTAAGTTACCTATTAATTTAAAATTAAAATGTTAGAACCTAATAAATATTAATCATAAGTGTGATATGTACCTATAATAAAAATTTAAATAATTTTATAGGTAGAAATCATTTACCTAAATGATGGTTATTACGGGCCTAATGGGTTCCATGCTGAAGATATAGCTGTTATTGTATTACCAAACCGAGTTTCTATTAGTAGCGGTGTCTCACCTGTTTGTGTCGATTGGAATAGTAAATATACTATGTCAAATGGAGCTCAAGGAAAGGTTAGTTTTAAATATTAAAATTGTAAATTAATTCCAGTTAATCACTATATCATCATTCATTCATTCCCCATTGTCATTTTGTAAGTAAAGACAAATACCGCGAGATACTCTGCTATAGGTGTATAAATGATTATATGTTAGGTTTGGACAAAATTAAAAAAAATATATATAATTAAAAATTCAAATTGTAAAATCAGTAAAAATTATATTATAATATTCTTAATTCACATTCGATTGATTTCCAAAATTAAGAAAACTTCGATCGGTCACTTTAACTTATTGTATTCATTAGGTAAGTTATTATTCATTATTAATATGGCGACATTTATGTAGAAATAAATAAATTGTATGCATTTATTATAATCGTACATTATAAAACTGTTTTGTATTTTTACAGATTGTTGGTTGGGGAAAAACTGAAAAGGGTATATCAAGTCCCATTTTATTAGAAGCATCTTTACCATACATCGATCATAGCTCATGTCGGAGTATGTATAAAAATGGATTTGAAACATTTGTAACTGTTGATAAGTTTTGCGCTGGTTCTGCATTAGGTAATAAAATATTTAACTAGCAATTTTTTTCCAACAATTAATTTAGTTTAAATATTTAAATACTTAATATTTAAGGCAAATACTTCTTTTAAATACTTACGAAGATAATAAAGAAATAATAAATCACATTTTACAATTATAAATATAAGAATACAAAAGAATACAAAATATATCTCTACAAATCTATCAAACGATGATTGAAGATATCATATTAAGTAATTACAAAACTGACCATAATTAACAGTTTCTATATAATCTCATTAAATGTGTCTGATGTAGAGGTTCCCCAACTGTGGTTTGTGGTCTTGATTACATTTTTGGTGGGCTAGGTAGGTATATTAAGTTTTGGATTAAATATAAATTCTTATAATTTAAAAATATTTTATATTAGATTACTTTTAGGGGGGGAATAATTATTTTGACCTATATTGCATAGAAGAATTTTTTCTTTTTAAGTAAATTGTAAAAAATTTTAGAGATAAAAAAAAATTCCACTACGCATGAATTTTTTTAATTTTATGTTATATTAACAAATGACACAAATATCATAAGCATTTTTATACATATACATTTATTAGATACATACATTTTTTGAATACAATTATGTAATAAATGTATTGTATCATATGTACCTATAATTTCAAGACGTTGACAAAATTGAATTACTAGTATTTTATTTTTGCTTTATTGGCGAGGGTTACAACTTACAAATAAATATTTCTATCGTCCAAGTTCATGATATTCTGAATTTCATTGTATAGATTCAAAAAGGATGGGTTTCGTTTTCAACTTAATAGAAAGAGTTTCAAATATATATTATATGTTGAGTTATAGATTAGATGATTCTTTAAAAAAAGGTTTTTTGTGAACAATTATTATAATTATTATTGGGTGGGCTGTTACATGGTAATTTCTCGGGCCAATTTTTTTTTAACCAATCTACTGTTGCGTATGCCACAAATGATACCTACTGTTAGATTTAAAGTTGTCGTAAAGATAATGATTAGAAATGAAATAAAAAAAGTCAAGGTAGGTAGGCCGTAAAAATTTGAACACTTTCCAAAATAGACCATACAGTTAAACGTTTTGGATTTCAAACAACTTGAAAAATACAAAAGTAGAATTAATTTTTATTCCCAGTGAGATTCGATAAACATCATCTGTAATTAATAAATTAATGAAAATATTTATTCTACCTTTTGCCCAATAATGGAAGTATGAATAATTTTTATTGTATGAATCTTATCTTTAATTTCAGGACAAGGAGTTCGTGAAGGCGATAGTGGTGCAGGATTAACCTTTTTACACACTAATTCTTATTATTTAACTGGAGTAGTGAGTGTGAAGGACCCAAATACAAATAATTCAATTGCAGTTTTTACAGATGTTAAGCATCACATTCAATGGATTCGTGAACTGTACAACAAACATACATCTTATGCTAGTGACAATATATCTAAGTCTACCAGGATGGTAGTTACATGAAAATAGTTTATTGTAATATTTAAATCAATATTTTTATGAATAGATTTTAACTTTTGTGTAACAATTTTTAATAGTTAATACAATTGTTTTTCTTAATGCAAATTATACATATAATGTCGTAACATTATTATATATTTCTTGTTTTTATTTTTTATACTAATTTTAAATAGTTTTATCTTAGGTTTGTTGATTACAAATTCTGCTTAAAATTTAACTTATTTTTGGAGTATTAAATTTATTGAAAATAATATTTTTTTCAATAATTATGGTTTTTACAGCTTTATCTGTTCAAAATGAGATCGGTATACGGCGGCGACCGGTTTTGTCTGGGGCGCGGGGTTAGTAACAAGTAATATAGTGGTTAACTTAAATCATAGTTTTTCTATTTTTTTCGTAATTATATATTTTTTAACATCTAAAACACGTTTGATCAATACATTTGGGTGAATAT